ACTTCTGACAGAAAAATGGAAATATTTCCATGGCTTTCTAACATTTACAGATGGAGAATATACCTGTGAAATGTAAGTTATGCATTCAGGAAGACAGCACATCTCAAACACATTAACCCTTAAATCAGTGGTTCTCAACCTGCGGCCCGTCACGAATTCAAATGCGGTCCACCGTGCTGAACACAATTTTAAAAAAAAACTTTAATTTTTACAATTCATTTCAGTTTTTACATTAATTAAAAAATGTACTAAACAAATATAAGCTATAATGTTTTTGTTATGTAAAATAATTTTGTTTTTCATATATTATTTTCAGACATGAGCAGACCTGTAGGCTACTAACGTAATTAACGTTACGCATTTAACGAAAACTTACAAGTGCACACTTTGGCAGAATTCAATTCAAATAATATAGAGTGAAGGTAGGAGAGTGCTGGACTTTCGGCATCAACTTTCGGTTTCCCCATATAAAAGATACTGTGCAGAACCCTTAAGCTCCCAGGTCACTGGTAGAGAACATAACCTGTCTCTGCCAAAGAGAGCAGGGAATCATGGACTGTCCATGCTTCAGTCTCAAGAGCCGGGCCCAAGAAAAGACATCAGCTGGTATGCTGACAATCAGATAATGTGCCTGATGAAAGAACCGCAGGCCCTCAATAAAGGGTCTTTACAGGTAGATCAAGAAACATGATCTTGAACACTCACCACTGAAGGACACTGGAAATATCTGTTTCAACAATGTGGATTGTGTTCATTTAAATGAGGTTCAAATGCATTTATTATCACAGGTTCATTCAGTGTCTGTATGTGTAAAGACTTTAGGGGCTTGTTCGTTTTGACAGTTGCTGGAACATCAGAATTCCAGACAGTTTATTTGTTTATGGTTGATGGTTTTAGCAGTGGCTGCATTTACATGCTCTTCCATCAGTATTTTTTAAGACGTTTTAAAACCATTTATGTCAGTAACTTTTGGGGCTTTTAAGTTAGTTAAACCAAATCTCTTGGCATTTATTGCTCAGTTAACTAACCATAAACTATATTTTAAAGACTTTTTTAAATTTTATTTTTGTTAATTTATCCACTCGCTATAGGGAAATACAAACATTATCAGTGTAAAACATTTAAATAATCACAAAAATGATATTATTAATTATAAGTATTAAATCACATGAAACCAAGGAATATATATATATATATATATAATATGATTATACATTAGACAAAAAATCCTATACATTACCTATATGAAAATAATAATACATATTTTTAAGACTTTATAAACCAAATATACTTGTTGTGATACAGCATGCAATGTAAATATATTTTAAGTGATCAATAATAGTAGTACTTTCTTATGGCAATACCGTCCTCACTGTAACTTCCTTTTTTATTTTTTTATGTAAAATTTATACATTTTTTTGTGTAAATCAACATTAAGCTGTCTATTGAATTTGAGCTAAACTTGTACTGAACCTGAAATTTGCTTTAATTGCAATATGACCATGAAAAACCCATACTGGCATTACCAGAAGTAATTAATAAAGATGAGAATAAAAATAATGCGATATTCGATATGTGATACGCTATTGCTTTAAGTGTGTGAAATTATATTTAAAAATATTTAAAAACTGAAAATTATGTGACCAATATATATGTTTCACGTTCTTTCTTTGAAAAAAAAAGCATCACTACAACTTCTGAAAGTGATCAGCATTGTTTTAGCATTACATAAAAAGAAATGTCACAAATATGGAAATATAACTTTACAATTTTTTTGTATTTTTTTTTACATTGATGTTAATATATAGTTATATCAACCTAAAATTTTACATCAAAAACATCCAGGTAAACAAAAACACCTGAAACTAGGGGGTGGACAATTAGTTATTGTAATTATTTTAATTTATCTTTGTTATTAAAAATAAGAACTACAAACAATAGAACAAATACAACAAAACAAAGATACAAAAGAAATAGTGCTTTAAGTCTTTCAGGTAGGCCTACATCATATATTTAACAGTAGCATTCAATTAAGTAAGAAACAATACAGAAACTGAATAATCAAATGTAAAACTACAACACTGCATAGTCTTCACATCCGATTTATTTCCCAACTCTTCACATGTGTTTACATGAATACTGGTCATTTTGACATAACTGTGTGTATTTGACCGTTCGAGTGTAATCCCAGATAGCACATGTACGTCTGCAAGATGTCTGTTAAAGATCGCTTCATCTGAAAAGCATCTGCTCTGTACAAACATCTGATAGACGTCTTTAAGATGTCAGTTTTACATACATTCTAAATCATAAACATCTTAAAGACATCTTCTAAACGTTTATTTGACATCTGATAGGAAACGTCCTATAGATGTATTGCAGATGAGCAAGCACTCTAAAAAATACGTCTTGCAGATGTTAATGCAGACGTCAAATAGACGTCTCCGTGATATGCGTGTGCTATCAAGGAATAAGGCGTGAAAGAAAACTGAAGAGATCACACGCTGTCCGAGAGGCAGCTTGTGCGTGCGCTTCAGGTGTGTCAGACAGAAGACAGCGTGAAACCGAAAGGAGTTGTTTTCTTCAACTTATTGCATTTAATAATTATTTTTTTAGTCAAAAAAGTCACGCAAGTCACGTGCCCAGTCTATTCTCTGCTATATGCTTCGACCTAACACTTTTGACATTTCGCAACATTTTGAAGTAGCCTATTATTAAAAAAATTCAGATATCGCATGCCGTTGTAATATGTACATTTGTGACATTTCAATAATTTCTATATAGCGTGCAGCCCTAGTTGCTACGGTATGTTGACTGGTTAATAAGTATTAAGGTGTTTTGTCAAGTTGCTTCTCATTGATATGGTGTTCTTGTTTCTGAGGTATTTTGAAACCGACTGTTTACACTCCAGCACAGAACACTGAACTTACCAAATTCAGTTGTAGTCCTGAAAGGGATTTATTTTGTTTTCATATCTAAACTTTGTGAACAGAACAATAATTAGTTCTCTAAAACTGGACTGATAACTGTATTCTGCTGCTGTGTGAACACATCCATCAGAAAAAACACAGCAGATCCTAACTCACTACTGCTTCTGTTCAGCCTGTTATTTGTATATTTATTCCAATATTGTTAATGGGAGTTGAGAGTAAGATGACAAATATGATAAATGTGTAAGTTAATAATTTCAAGACTTTAATAATAAAAAAGACTTTACTTTATGATGGTAGTTCTGTCAGGACCACTATCGTCAATATAACTTATGATTAGCATACATTTTAGGTTGGGGGAATGGTTCTGTTCTGGGAAAACACTCCCTGCCCATCCATGCAGCCTAGCATGGATAGGAGCAGGGAGAGCAGAATACCCCCGCTAGGGTAACAGAACAGAACCAACATCAATGATAAATGTAGCAGATACCATTAATGTTCTATGTGATTATTTTAACAACATGATTCAGTGGTCTGACTCAATGATATATTCACTGCCAAGTCCTGACTGGACGAGAGGAGGAGCTGGGGATGGAGGTGGGTGATTAGTTTCTGAGCGAAGCGATAGCTGCTGAATAATGACTGAAGGAACCTTATGAAGGGAATTATGATTGGTGTCGTGATCCTATAGGTAGACGTGGATCAGCTGAGTGTCAGCTGATGCGAACTTGACTAAGATGGCCTGCCAGAACTATCGCTATGCTCCATTTCTGTCAGGACCACTATCGTCAATATAACTTATGAATAGCATACATTTTAGGTTGGGGGAATGGTTCTGTTCTGGGTAAATACTCCCTGCCCATCCACGCAGCCTAGCATGGGTAGGAGCAGGGAGAGCAGAATACCCCCCAAAACAACCATATGCTGAACCCCCCAACCAAAATTCTGATAGCAATCTAACGGATTGCCTTACGGAAGGAGAGTGGCAGTAAAGGGGTGCTCTTCTGCTATGAGCAGGTAGGAAGAGCAGCTTGCCCCTTCGGGAAGACAGTGGCAGCCAAGGGGTGCTCTTCTTTATAATCAGCTAAGAAGAGCAGCAAGCCCCTTACCAGAGGAGTGTAGCAGCGAAGAGGTGCTCTTCTTAATAGCAGCCAAGAAGAGCAGCAAGCCCCTTACCTGGAAATGTGTAGCAGCGAAGGGGTGCTCTTCTTAATAGCAGCCAAGAAGAGCAACAAGCCCCTTTTTAAGCAACCTGAAATTAAGATGCGGAATCCACTAGATTGCAGCCTAGTTGCCAGTTGTAGCAAACACCGCATAATGCAGCCGTAGAGCAAGCAATGACCGGTTTAGAGATTGCAGATTCTGCCTAGCCTAAGCTTAGCATCCATAACACGGCATATAGCTCAATAATTCAAGTCATGTTTATTGTTGCCTCCCATGATATTAGCGTTCGCTGACATACATGTCCTCTATCTGATAACCCGCATTAGTGTAGTAGACAATCTTTACCAATACTCTCGAAGCTTATGCAACAGTGTGTAGCTTGCTTAAGCACGGCATGTTGCAGTAGTCAGACCTAAAGAAATAGCATTATCAATAATCAGATGACCCATAGCAGCAAGCATATCTCAAGATAATTAGATGGCCTTAAACAATAGCTTAACATTAGCTTCTTGCTGTCGCAAGTTTACCCGGATACCAGCACTGCAGCACACCCGATAGCCTAAGCAACGGCAGGTCTAGCAACGATATGATACTGGACAAGCCTTAACAAGCAAGCAATCCCAATACCCTGATAGCTTTAAGCAAAGACCTTCTGAAATACATAGAGTGGGGCAGCATGCCCTTACAGAAGAATAGAAGTAAACTGACTTAAACACAGCGTGTTGGAAATAGTCGGATAAGTTTAATGAAAGCATCCCCAATAGATGAGCCTGAAGCAGCAAGCCTGTTTCATATCGACAGCCTTGACAACAGATTAAAAAAAGACTCACTGGTAAATTTAACTGGTAATGTTACCAGTGTGACAATACGATAGCATGCCTAGCAAACATAACTTAACAACTAGCCTTAGACAATGAGCAATATCTGAAGCATGTTCGCCAACATAGCATTAGGCAATAAAATTAAAGAAACTTTGCTTAGCTTCATGAAGATATTCAGAGATGAATAAAGGTAAAATGGCCAGTTGTTACGTGGATGCTTTAACCCTTCTTGAATATCGTTCTTCTTCCAGCGGGGAAGCAGATCTCGTGTAAAGTTGTTGGTGCAGTCGTATTAGCACAAATTCGGCGATGAATTGCTGGCAAAGTGTCTATATCAATTGCAAGGAGCCGTCGTGATCCTATAGGTAGACGTGGATCAGCTGAGTGTCAGCTGATGCGAGCTTGACTAACATGGCCTGCCAGAAATATCGCTACGCTCCATTAGTAAGACAAAAATTGGAAATGTCAAAATGACTCAAAAGATCCTGGTTTTAAAGCGTTCCTGTATGTTTATGCTGAATATAAACATGTATTACATATAATAGAAGTCATTTTAAGGTTTTCTTCTCACAGATCCATTTAAAAAAGGTAGTACATGGATAATCAGCCCATCCTACTAGATTAGTGACAATACAGTTCTCTACTGTATATCCAAGGGGCTCATCAATGTTCCAGAACCTGCATCAACAGATCAGCATTAGATGTTCAGAGTTGCTTTCTGTGTGAAATGAATAATTTATCACATAATAATCAGTTCAATTCAGTGATTTCTCACCCAGAGGTCAGTGCGCTGCCATCAACCCATTTCCATGTGCCTTCCACTTCAATATCAGTCAGACCAATCCAGGTTTGAGATCCACAGGATATTTTCTTTACAAAATCCTAAATAGATGAGGAAGAAAAGAAGAAAGAAATTACATCAAACCTTTCAACTGACCTTTCACAAACAACACACAATTACCAGATGGGAACATTCCAATTACTTTTTTATTATTATTATTATTGTTATTATTTATTTATATTCAATTAGAAATATTACCATCACAGAAAACAATCTTATTTTTTTATTATTATTATTTATATATATATATATATATATATATTGCTTTTACATAAGAGGATGTCCATATGTAAACCTCAAATGGAGGTTTTGTCATATTTAGCTCACTTCTGGTTACAAACGTGCCCCCAGAATATGGTTAAGCAAGTACTTTTCACTCACTTGTTTTTTGCTGTCTTTTATAATCACTAGATCTGCTCCTCTCTCTATACAGTATCTTCTGCTCTCAGTCCAGCTCTTCGTCTCAGTGGAAACATAGTAAAGACTGAATTGATAGTAAATCCATCCATCTGTGAACATCCAGCTTAACTATCAGCTCTTTATTGACTCACAAAAAAAAAAAAAAAGATGACACAACCTATTTTTACATGCTGTACATACCTAGATATACTTATAATAGAGAAATGTATCTTTCTGTCATTGAATATTTGTGGTTTTAGTGTAGTTCAATAATACCTTGAAAAAACTTTGCCAGTTCATTTTTCTCTTGATTGAACTGTACGTTTAGTTGAAATAAGTTAGCATTGCTGGTTAGTAGCTGGTCTCTCTCTCCTGTGAGGTTGGTGATCTTAGTTAGTAGCTGTTGTCTCTCCTCTGTGTAGTTTGTGCTCTTTGTATGGATGTGGACACACAGCACTATGACTGCAGTCAGCAGAAGAACACACAACAGCCCCAAACACACTGCAGCTGCTCTGGAGCTTCTGATCTTCACACAATCACTTCCTGACCATCAACAAACATGACTTTATTCTCTTTATTTATACATTTAACACAGCAACTGAAAACATGCAAACTGAGCAATAAGTCATTATTGATCAAATCTGTGCTATTATGAAATGTATTCATGATTAATCTCAGTACCTGTGTGTTCAGATGACTGGATTCTCACTGCGTTATGGTCGGTGATCTCTTTTCCAGATTGACCAGTTATAACGTAAATATTTTCATACACATCATCAGCCCTTTTTCCAACTTCTCTGTGCATTTTGCAGGTTGTGCCCTTTTCTGTCATTTGCTTTAGTTTCAGTGTTGTCAAGAACACTGGTTTAGTTACACTAATGGACTGTGCTGTGTTGTCCTCATCTGTGTTTGGGTGGTCAGTATTTATGCAGAAAGGAACTTCATCTTCAACAATGCTAGGTGTGTTAAATGAGGTCCAAATGCATATATTATCACACAATCCTTTCACTTCCCTCAGGTATAAACTGATAATACATTTCCTCAAAAAACTTGATCTTTAATAGCATGTGAAAAAATGCAAACATTACCACAGTTTGCATGTTTATGTGTAAAGCCATATGGGGCTTGTTCATTTTGAAAGTAGGTTGTGTTGAAAACCTTCAACGTTTGATGAGCTTCAGGTTGTTTCATCAGACGTCCAGATGGCTGAACAGTTTATGTTTTTTTGCAGTGACTGCATTTGATGCTCTTCCTTCAGTCTGATTATAAAATGACTTTTAGGAGGCTTGACTTTAAAGGAACTGTGGGGTTAAAATCTTGGTTTGTTTTGAGTAAGCAAATGTTGGTAGCCCTAGCATAGTTAGCTAACAATCAACAATATATATATTGATTTCTTAATATATATATATTAAATAAAACCATTTTATACTTGAGATATGTTATTGTTTCATATAGTGATAATGACTGGGGAAGCCATCCATAATTTATATCCTGATTTCCACAAACAGATTATTATTGTTCATTTTGATGCAGTAGACTTTGGCAGACCCAGATTTTGGTCATCTCAAGTCTACTGTGGGATGTTTAAAAAAAAAAAAATTGCTCAACCCGCAAGTACTCTTTAGAGTATGGTGATGTTTATTTACAAGTGCTCTGAAAATCGAATAGTCCAGCAGTGAAGAAATATATATGCAAGTGAACAGTCCCAAAAACAAAGTATCCAACCACAAAAAAGTACAAAAACAACAAAATTAAAACCAAAGATACATAACTATACAAACATATATACAAGCTATTCTATTTTGTTTGCAGGTTAAAACTTTGGTACCCCCACATAAAGACAAGACATGAGCCGTTTCTCAGTATACAAACTTCAGTACAGTTCAAATCTCCTGATGTGTTCTTGCTCTGCACCTTTTTTCGAGGATGCATCAAGAGGTGACTTGTGTGAACTTGAGGCAGCCAGGTATCCCACAATGCATTTCGCACCAACAAGCGAGCGTTAATGGCGGAGGCAAAAACCCACATGATTTTCCAAAATACTACTGTTATTGTGTTATGAAATGTAGTTAAAAGAGTTTTCAGGTGAGAATGTAGTTGTTTCACTCAAATCTGCAGTTTATTTATGAACATAGAACCTATTTGAAAATTTGCTTCGCAGATTTCGTAGATGTGAGCTCCAGGCGATCACTGGGTGTTTAGCGCTCATGAACCCACCGAAAACAGCCTTACCTCAGCTAGTTATTCTGACATTTGCCGCTGGCTCTGATGTCTCTGTAGTAGTTAAAAATTAGATTTAATACGTTTTGGGTATATTTAACAGGTAATCTTTGGTCTCATGAATCTATTATTTGGTCGTGGTCATATTTTTTTTGGCTGAGCACAAAAATAAGTTTTATAACTTTATTTATTTCATTTTACCGTAGTATAGCGCTTACTTTGTAGCATATTGTTTGCTTTTGTGTTTTATTTCCTATTATAAAAGACTTATACGTTATATTTATACTTTTATAATGGCCGTTACAGAGAGATGATCAGAAATATATATATGCACATATTGCCTGAACTACATATTATGTTTTACATTTTTAAAATGAAAACGAAAAGAGGGTTGTGTTTTATTTAAGTAACTGAACTGAACTGCATTTTTGTGGCTATCAATATGTTTAAATGAAAACAAAAATTCACATTCACACACTTCACATAGTTCAGGAAATATGCCAGCTAATTATTGAAAACAAGTAAATCATCAAGTTAGTTTATTGTCATACTGTAGTTGTTTCAAAAAGCTGCAAAAAATTTCAAAGAGTCACAGTTCAAATTAAACTTTACTGATGTCCTGAATAATACAATAAAATCATGATCATTTTGGTTAATCAGAATCAGAATTAGCTTTATTCGCCAGGTGTGAGCAAACACACTAGGAATTTGTTGTGTTTTTTTATCAGGTGCTCCTGGTACATACACACATGCATACATACATACATACACATCTGACATGAGAACAGAAAAAAACATTTAAATAGTAAGACTTAACAAAAAATAATGTGTATACAAAAAATAATGTGTATGAATCTGGAACAGTAGATTTATGTACAGATATGTGCATTTGTACTCTATATAGAACTGTATAATAAGAGATATCCATATGTATTTACATAATACTTGAGAAGTATTATGAGTATTGGAACTTACTTTCCAATTACTTAAGATTCCAATTACTTACTTAAGAGTATTGGAACAATGCTGTTTGTATGGACATTTATATATCAGTGTATTGCAGATATTATTTCAGTCCGTAGAAACATCACTATTGTATTTCACATGCATATTTTAGTTTAGATCTTAAGATGTGACCAAGTTTGGCTGAACATTAATCAGTTCAATTCAGTGATTTTTCACCCAGAGGTCAAATTGCTGCCATCAACCCATTTCCATGTGCCTTCTTCATCAATGTCAGTCAGACCAATCCAGAGTTCAGAAGCACCATAAATGTTCTTAACAAAATCCTAAGAAGTGAAGCAATAACACAATTCATAAAATGAGCACAGACACATATTTCAGCACATTATCTTTAGCCCTATTCGCACGGGATTAGTATTACCTGGTGACCTCCAGTAATTTGTAATAATTGCGGAGGTTGTCTGTGATCTTAATCCCGTGCGAATCGGCCATGTCTTTAATTTGTAAAGTAAAAATTCCCCCGCAAATGACCTACCATATTTCGCTGAACACCGAGGTCCTGTGATAATATTAGTCCCGTGCGAATCGGCATCTCTGTGATTTGGACAGGATTTGACGGGTCGTATATCGTTTTTCGAAGTTTTTGTTTCCTGTGTGCCTTTTTTCCATCTTTCACAAAGAATGGAGGCTGCGTTGGAGTGTTTTGATAGTATTTTGGGTGCTGGGTCATATTGCTATACATGGGCGGTTCTAGGATTTCATCCACAGGCGGGCTGAGCCCTCAGACAGACCATTAGACAGATACAAATTACCTAAATTCTATGGAGTAAATATACGCAAATATCCATTAAAGCTACAGAAGTTACTTGGTTATGAGCAGCGAGTGATTCTCTCTTTTTCTTTTATTGTTTGATTAACATTAACATAAGAAATGCATGGGTCCGTTTTATTAATGCACATCCGATATTTTCTTAACCATTTACGTTCACTTAAGACATAACCAACTGTTTTTACGTCGATAGTCGTCAAGACAGCCATTCAGACATAATTTGATATTTGCGTGCTGTCTGAGAGACGGCTTGTTTGTGTGCGTGCTTCAGGTGTATGCGCGCACAGAGACGATCTATCACAGCACGCGAGTACCGCATAGAGATCTCTTTCGCGCCGTCTTGCGCTTAAATGGCTTAAAATCACTTTAATGTTTAAACTGACAAGCCTTAAAACACATGAGAATGATAAACTTTGAGGAAGCATCACTGGCCCGATCGTTCAGATCGGAAGCCCACCTAAAGGGTCTAGAACCGCTCCTGTCGCTATATACCATACAACTATAAAATTTGCAGAAAGAGAAAACTGAAAACCATCATGCAATAATATCTGGCCCACCCGCAGTCAGATTATTTTGATAGCGGCTGGTTCTGAAATAGATCGGTCATGACAGCATTTGACAATAGATCTTTCATTTGCCTTCAAAATAAAAGTTGAGAACGTTTTTGCAGTAATGTTTTACTTTGAGATGAATTGAGATCTTTTAATTTGAAAAGTTCTGAAAGACATTCAAAAGAGTCTATTATAGGATTCTTTGCAAACAGCGACAACTTCGTTGCAGAAAAGACACGCCGGCTTTGCATTCACAAAACTAGGTAGGATGAACGCATAGCTGTCTTTCCATTCTTCTTTGTATGCCCTAATTTCGCTGTCAACTTTCCTCATTAGACTCTTTGATAGTGCCATTTTCTCTCACCAGCTAGCTTAAATGTTAACATCACTCTGCACACAATGTAATAGCGAACCTCCAGCACGCAAAACAATTTTAAAAAATGCAGTTTAGTACATGAGGATGCCATGGAATAATTCTGAGTGTAAAAGTAGACTACGTCAAATAATTATTACAATAAGTTAGGCTTTAAAATGATACACATTTATTATTCACAATA